GCCCGCCACGCTGCGGCATCCCATCCCCGTCCGTTGGCCCTGTTCTGCTCTTTGGCAGGGCCCCATGTGATTGCTGTCCCCCTTTCCTGGGGCTCTGCTCTGGTGACCCTGCTGCTGCAGGGGCTGCTCTGGGTGGTCCGCAGAGGTGCCTTCAAGCTCAACCCTCGTGTGGCTCAACCCTCCATGTAGGAGGTCGGGAAACCCCAGCACCGCCGCTCTTTGCCGTGTTTATTTTGGCCCTGTTCTGCTCTTTGGCAGGGCCCCATGTGATTGCTGTCCCCCTTTCCTGGGGCTCTGCTCTGGTGACCCTGCTGCTGCAGGGGCTGCTCTGGGTGGTCCGCAGAGGTGCCTTCAAGCTCAACCCTCGTGTGGCTCAACCCTCCATGTAGGAGGTCGGGAAACCCCAGCACCGCCGCTCTTTGCCGTGTTTATTTTGGTGTGTGTGTTGTGTCTTGCAGAACTAACATCCATCCCAGATGGGATGATAATGAAAATACAGACAAAAGAAAAGCAGGTTTGTGACCCTCTCTCTTCTGCAGCTGGTGCGTGGTGACAGGCGGGGCCCTCTGCATGGTCAGTGAGGACCTCAGCTTTGTGCGGTCATGGCCTTGGCCGCACCTGAATCTCAGCCTGTGTGCTTGAGCACGGTGGGCAGTGTTTGCTCGGGTGTCCTTGTGCGGGCAGCGCTCTCCTTCCACAGTGCCGCTGCTGGCCTACTGGCTGCAGCGATGGCGCTGCGGGATGCAGGGAAGGGCACAGTGGAGCCGGGCCGCAGGCTCTGCAGGAAGCGCATCCGCCCTGGATGCCCTCTCCCGAGGGCCACGTGTGCCCGGGTGCTCCCGGATTTGCTTCATGCTTCATGCGTGCGGAGCACCATGATGTGCGGGCGAGAAACCTGCCCGCAGCCCTCGGAGCGCGGGAAGGAGCCGCTCTGCGCTCGGAGTTGCTGTGTTGGGAGGGCGTCTGCCAGAGCCCTCTGTGTCCCTGCCGCTTCCAGTGGGACATCGCTGCCCAGGCGCCTGGTGAAGGGATGGCAGGAGTGGGGCCGGTGCCTGATGCCGGCCGCGC